CGTACAACTTGTATAAAAATGTTCGGGCTAGGTGCTGTGGCTTACGCCTGTAATCCCAGCATTTTGGGAGGCCAAGGCGGGTGGATCACAATGTCAGGAGTTTGAGACCAGCCTGGCCAAGGTGGTAAAACCCCGTCTCTACTAAAAAAACAAAAATTAACGGGTGTGGGGGTGTGTGCCTGTAATCCCAGCTATTTGGGAGGCTGAGACAGGAGAATGATGTGAACCCGGGAGGCGTAGCTTGCAGTGAGCCGAGATTGCACCACTGCACTCCAGCCTGGGTGACAGAGTGAGATTCCATCTCAAAAAAAAAAAGAAAAGAAATATCTTGTCCACTGGTTAATTTGTCCGTACCCTTCCAGACAACTAGTTAACTCATTTTTTTGTGAGATACAGACTTAGTGACATAACTGACACTGCAAATTTTAGAAGACTCTTTTTTTATTTTTTTCTTTTGAGACAGAGTCTTACTCTATCGCCCAGGCTGGAGTGCAGTGGCGTGATCATGACTTGCTGCAATCTCGACCTCCCTAGGCTCAGGTGATCCTCCCACGTGAGCCTGCCTAGTAACTGGGACTACATGCACATGCTGCCACACCCAGCTAATTTTTAGATTTTTGATTTTTTTTTTGAGACAGAGTTTCACTCTTGTTGCCCAGGCTGGAGTGCAATGGCATGATCTCGGCTCACCACAGCCTCCACCTCCTGGGTTCAAGTGATTCTCCTGCCTCAGCCTCCCGAGTAGCTGGGATTACAGGCATGTGCTACCACACCCGGCTAATTTTGTGTTTTTAGTAGAGACAGGGTTTCTCCATGTTGATCAGGCTGGTCTTGAACTCCCGACCTCAGGTGATCCGCCCACCTCGGCCTCCCAAAGTGCTGGGATTACAGGTGTGAGCCACTGTGCCTGGTCAAGTTTTATTTTTGTAGAGATCAGATTTCACTGTGTTGCCCAGGCTTGTCTTGAACTCCTGGGCTTAAGCGATCCGTCCGCCTTGGCCTCTCAAAGTGCTGGGATTACAGGCATGAGCCACTGTACCCGGCAGGAAGACCCTTTTTTTAGAAAGTATAATTGGAGGCTGGGCCTGGTGGCTCAAGCCTGTAATCCCAGCACTTTGGGAGGCCGAGGCGGGCGGATCACGAGGTCAGGAGATCAAGACATCCTGGGCGTTAACACCAGGTTGAACCCGGTCATCCGCTAAAAAATACAAAAACCTAGCCTGAAGAAGTGGCTGGCGCCTGTAAGTCTCAGCTACGTCGAAGGCTGAGGCAGAGAATGGCAATAAACCCGGGAGGCGGAGCTTGCAGTGAGCTGAGATCCGGCCACTGCACTCCAGCCTGGGTGACAGAGCGAGACTCTGTCTCAAAAAAAAAATGGAGCCATCAGGAAAGCAATTATTGAGAGAGAGATATATATATCTTGAGTTCAGAGGAGAGGTCTGGATCAGCACTATACAATTAAAATTTCTGTAATGATAGAAATGTTCTGTATCTGTACTGTCCAGTTTAGTAGCCACTAGCCACATGTGGCCCTCAAGCTCTTAAAATGTAGCTCCTGTCTTGAGCCCAGGAGTTTGAGGCCAGCCTGGGCAACATGGTGAGACCCCATCTCCACTTAAAAATTCAAAAATTAGCCAGGCGTGATGGTGTGCACCTGTAGTCCCAGCTACTTGGGAAGCTGAGGTGGGAGGATTGCTTGAGCCCAGAATTCAGAGGCTGCAGTGAGCCAACATCACAACACTGCACTCTACCCTGGGCAACAGGGCAAGACCCTATCTCAAAATTGTGTGTGTGTGTATGTGTTTGTGTGTGTGTGTGTGTGTGTAATGTGACCAAGGAAATGAATTTTTAATTTTATATAATGTAAATTAAATTTAATAGCCACATATTGCTACTGGCTACTGTATTAGACAGTACAAGTCTAGCCTGTAAATATGTATTTACAGACAACATATATAAACAGTAGTTAGATTGGGTGAGATCATTAAGGGATGGAATGTAGTAGATCGAAGAGAAAAGGTTTGTAGACTGAGTCCAAGATATGCCAGTGATTAGAAGATGGGGAAGGAGAAAGAGCCAGCATGCTCAGCCAGGTAGAAGAAAAATAGGAGGCTGTGATTTCCTAGAATCCTAATGAAGAAATGTTTCAAGGAAGAGTGAGAGATGAGCTGAATCAAATGCTGCTAATAGCTCAAACGGGGAAGACTAAAAATTGACTATTTAGCCATAAGGAGGTCATTGGTAACCTTGATGAGAGTATGGGATGAAAACCTGACTGGAAACAAGAGAAAACTGGAAACCCTCACACCTAGCCAGTAGAAATGTAAAATAATACAGCCACTTTGAAAAGCAGTTTGGCAATTCTTTAAAAAGTTAAAGAGAATTACCGTATGACCATGAAATATCATTCCTAGGTATTTCCCAAGAGAAGTGAAAACATATGTCCGTACAACTTGTATAAAAATGTTCGGGCTAGGTGCTGTGGCTTACGCCTGTAATCCCAGCATTTTGGGAGGCCAAGGCGGGTGGATCACAATGTCTAGAGTTTGAGACCAGCCTGGCCAAGGTGGTAAAACCCCGTCTCTACTAAGAACATAAAAATTAGCCAGGCGTGGTGGCACGTGCCTATAATTCCAGCTACTCAGGAGGCCGAAGCAGAAGAATCGCTTGAACCCGAGAGGTGGAAGTTGCAGTGATCTGAGATCATGCCATTGCATTCCAGCCTAGGGAACAGAGCAAGACTCTGTCTCAGGGAAAAAAAAAATATATGTTCAAAGCAGCATTATTCCTAGTAGTCAAAAAATGGAAACAACTGAAATGTCTATCAACTGATGAGCAGATAAACAAATGTAAATTTGTATAATGGAATATTATTCAGCCATAAAAAGGTATGAAGTATGAATACATGCTATAACATGGATGAACCCTAAAACATTTAAGTGAAAGAGGCAAAGTCACAAAAGAGTGTATGATTCCCTTTATATGAAACATCCATTAGTCAGGCTGGTGGTACATGCCTATGGTCCCAGCTACTTGGGAGGCTGAGGTGGAATGATCACTTGAACCGGGGAGTTTGAGACTGCAATGAGCTATGACCGTACCACTGCATTCCAGCCTGGGTAAGAGAGCAAGAACCTTATCTCTAAAAAATGAAAATTAAAAAAAACTTGAATAGGCAAATTTATAGAGACAGAAAGTAGTTTAGTGGTTGCTTAGGGTTGGGAAAGAGATCGGGTGAAATGGGGGTTGACTGCTAATGGGTACAGGGTTTCTTTTAGGGAGGACCAAAATGGGACTGGCACGGTGGCTCACACCTGTAATCCCAGCACTTTGGGTGGTGGAGGTGGGTGGTTCACTTGAGCTCAGGAGTTCAAGACCAGCCTGGGCAACGTGGCGAAACCCTGTCTCTACTAAAAATACAAAGAATTAGCCAGGTGTGGTGGCGCATGCCTGTAGTCCCAGCTACTTGCGAGGCTGAGGCAGAAGAATCGCTTGAACCCAGCAGTCAGAGGTTGTAGTGAGCAGAGATAACACCACTGCACTCCAGCCTGGGCGACAGTGAAACTCTGTCTCAGTCAATCAATCAGTCAATAATAAAATTAGATCATGATGATAGTTTCATAATCCTGTGAATATACTACAAAAAAATAATTGAATTGTACATTTTAAGTGGGTAGGTTGTATGGGATGTGGATTATACCTCAAAGCCATTTTATAAAAGAGAAAACTAGAGAAAAGGAGCTGCAGAAAGTACTTTATACAAATAGAAAATCTAGCCTTAGATAGTTCATCCATGGTAATAGGAGGAAAGACAGAACGTATTACAAATAGGTGCAGGTAAGTGGGTGGATGTGGTTGTGGCTAGTCTCGTGAGTGCTTCTATTTTCTCAATGA